ATGGAAGCCCAAGGCCAGAGGTCTTATCAATTTTGAAATAGGTCTAAGACTCCATATATGATATATGTAGCTAAAAACTTTAGGAAAATAATGTTCATAAATCTTATTGTTAGAATTATGGTTTCTTGTTTGCAAGCCATTATACATTATTGGTGTTTATTTAGTGCACACCTTCAAATAATATTGACATGTGTTCCTCATTACATATTTTTTAAATATGAATTCCTATCCGAACTCAATTTATTAAAATAATCACTCGAGCCAGGTTCAACATTTGGTCCAAATCTCGGATAACTTAAAATATGATTAGGTGAAATTTCAAAGAACATTTTTTTTTTCCTGAATAATTAAAGTCAAGTAGTGAGTGAAAAATAAAGTAAAATGAGATTAATTTTGTTAAACCTTAAAGTCCTCTCTGGTGGATTTAAAATAGTTACATTTTCAAGGCTTGAACTCAAAACATGTAAGTATACTAAAAGAGAATCATATAAGTAGAAACTCGAATTACCTATGTGTATATAAAGCTGATTTGAGAGTCTCAACTTAATTCACTCCTCACCTCAAACACTCTAGCATCTGTCTCTCACTTAACACCATCGGCCCTCTGATCTCCACAACTCCCGAGGAGATCTCCTTCGAATCACCGTCTCTGGCTTTACTGTTCTTTTTTATTTTCAGAAAATTAAAGCTTTAAGTTTTTGAAAATTTTTCTTTTTGAAACTTTGATCCGTAAACTGTATAATCTGATCAGAGAAATTATTGATATTCCTCGATCAGGCCCATGGAATCTCAGACGAGTGCAGTTGATGAATCCCAATTATCCCAGGCTGCACTTGATGAATTTGAACGCAGAGTTATAGAGATGACACGAGGTGTAAAAGATTTACTGAATAAACAGGGTCGTAAGGTTGCTGTTTTGAAAAGTCAAAAGGTTGAGTTGGAGAAGATTATAGCGGACAATCGCGCGGCCTTTTTACGGGCCTGTGGCTTGATTGGATCCCAGAATGAGAATGAGACTGCACTTGATGGGTCCCGGAATGAGAATGAGAATGAGAATGAGAATGAGAGTGCATTATCCCAGAATGAGAAAGAGAATGAGGGATCCAAGATTATTGAATTGAGTGAGAGTGAGCTTGCTGAATTAGAGGCGTGTAGGCAGGAACTAGAGGAGATGAAGCTCAATATCCTAAAAAGGGAATCTACGCTTCACAACCTGGGGTTGGCATTTCAGATGATGCTTGCCATATATGCATAAAATTATAAATTTGGATGTATTTGGTTTATGGATTTAACTTCTTTTTTTGAATGCTACTGAATATATTACAATGTAGTATCTGTTAACCCAACAGGGTAGCTCAAGTAGCAAATGAGTTCTTTTTGTGGGGGAGAATTATGAGATAACCCGGGTTCAATTCCCACAAGTGATGATCCCCTTGGACGGAGTTAGACCGTTAAACAAAAAGATCCGGACCACAATGTGTAGTTGGAACTCACAAGGTCTTGGCTACTATATAATTTGATTACCCCTCAATTAAAAAACTCATTTCCTAATAAAATAAGGGTTGTTTGGATTAGTCCTTTTAAATTTTTATTTTTATTTTTTTAGTATATATTAGTGCTTTGGATGTCTTTATATCAGAATCCATTGTCTTGATTTTTTGTTCTTGTATTTTTATAACATTTATTCTCATTATAGGATCATACATAACTAAACACTAATATTAGTAATCATTCAAATTTCACCCTACTACCAAACATGCAAAATACTTTCACTAAAATTCATTACCAACTATTTGATTTAATTCCGATTCTGATTCCCACGTGAGAAACAAACACAACATTAAGTCTTTTTTGATTTTTTTTTTATTTTTATTTTTATTTTTTTTGAAACAATCAAGCCATCCAGTTTCTTGTACTCTCTTCTCTACTTATGAGACTTGAACATAAATTATGAGACTTTTTGCCCACTATTTTGTCCCATGTTTATTCTCACAATTTTTATTTCTTGTGTCTGGAAATTATTAAATGAATTTCTCATAACGAGTTACAAATTATTTTAAGTTGACAGTACTATGGTTACAAATGTTTACATCATATTAAGGACTTCTTATAGAAGTTCAATGCACATTTTACGTATATAAATAAATTTCAATCACATTTTTAAATGTTTGAGTTGTAAGTTTTTTGGAGAAAATAATTTTCAATTTTTACAATCACTAAATGGTTGATTTTTTTGTTTGTTTTAAATTTAATTATTTACATAGTCTATGTTTATTTTACACGATTGTTAAAAATTGTAACAGAAACAGTAGTACTCGAAATTTTTTTTAATAATCGTGTAAAATTAGTATATACACAATTATCATACGTGATTGAAACAATAATTTGCCCTAAATAATTTAAATATTACGATACACTAATTAAGGAAGGATTTAAACAAAACTGATTATATTTAACCTAATCTTATAATAGTTTATATGAAAATAATTTTGAAGTACACTAGACTGCATGAAATTGGTAAACGCAACAAATAATGATTTTACAATATCTAGCACAGGTTCTCTGTGTAAAAAACATCCTCATTTTATAATGTAAATTTATCAGTTAAAATAAAATTATCACTAACATTACATAATATGATTAACAGGTTTTGGCTTGAAGGTATGGATAATTGGAATACAAGACAGTATTATATATATACTTATCATACAAGTAATTAATGTGGCCAAATAAGTAAATAGCTATGAAACCATGTACGTTTTAACTTTATCTATCTTTATATTGCATTGTTTATTTTCGCTTGCTTCCTATGGTTATTATATTGAGCACTTTAACTTCTTATCGTCATGCTTGTTTGATGTGCTTTTTTCTGAATATTGAGATTCTCTACGTATATATGAATGTGTTCTATATGTATTTTTGTGTGAAAGGATGACGGTACTATTTATATATCAACCTCTGAGTTAATTGAGTGTCTTTGACAATCATTACAACATGGTAGGATATTACTTTTTTATTGAGATAGTAAATAGTAAATGTAAACAAGGCTTATTTTTGCACTAAAAATTGCATATGTCTTGAAACTTATCAAGAGTGTACACTAAGTTGTCAAATTTTTAAAAATATATAAATTTGTATATAATTCAGTGACATGCAAATGATGACAATACAATCTAAGCCTGGTTAAGAACAACTATTTAAAACTTGATTCCTAGACATTTTAAGATTATTTTATTGTTTCATTTTAGAAAGTGATTTTTCGTGAACTTTAAACTCGTATGGTTGCAGTGTAACTTGCATTTTAATAGTTTACACGTACTTTATATTGTTATAATTGTAACCCTAATACTAATAAGTATAATGGCAACCAATTAAATGATGACTTTGTCAGTCTATGCTAACCATTTAAATTTTAACTTTAATTATAATCAAACTGAGTTTAAGGTTCTACGATTTTTTACTATCAAAGAAGTTTTGATTCCTATATTCGACAGAAAACAACCATGAGATTTTTTAAACACAAATTGTGAATAATTTGATTTGTGCAATTTACACATGCACACCAATTTAGTGGTATTTAAGCTGGCTGGGTAATCTTATGACAATGTAATAGTGATCTTCGATTGCCATTTTGTTAAACGTGAGCAAATCTGTAACAGCTAGAATTACACCTATAAATATAACTATGACTTGTAAGAACGTGATTAAACAAATTCATCTTCTGCTATTCAATTATAGAATCTAGCACATAATTCTCATGTTTTTGGATATTCTTCTATTCAATAAACCAATAAGAATTATTTTAAATAGTTTAACATAATCAAACTTGGATTTTCCTAACTTAAAATTTTAAAATTAGATCTTAGGCATGCATGCAAAAAACTAACTTGTATACAATACATGTTATAGAGAAAGGAGGTAGCATATAAGTACTGGTAATTAATTAATAGTCTATGCTCCACCACAATGTCTTGGTCACTTGTGATTGCAATTTGCAAGCACTACTCCCTTTCCACACAATGTTAAAATCTCGGACAACCTAAATAACATATGATTAGGTGAAATTTCAAAAGGATATTTTGTTTTGTTTTTAATAATTGAAGTGCAAGTAGTGAGTAAAAAATAGAGTACGTAAAATGAGATTAATTTTGTTGGTACATTATTGTTCAACCTTAAAGTCCTCCCTCATGGGGTTTAAAATGGCTACATTTCCAATGTTTGTAAAATAATATAATGATAAAGAGACAAAAAAAAAAAAAATTCAATAGCTTATTTTGAAATACTACTTAATTTATTTGTAGTTCTCACTTCTTAATTAAGGTTATATTATTAATTTATGTCCGTTTTTCTGTTAATATTTGTTTTTTGTACATCATGTTAAAATTGTTATACTATCTTATTCTTTGGACAAAAGTATTCCTATCGGTATAATTTTTGTTATCTTTTTCCATTATTATTATTATTATCATACATATACATAAACAATATCTTTTCTTATTTTTAAGTTTGATTTCTTTAAAATTTTAATTAAATATTACCATAATTATATTTAGTAATTTATAATATCTAAAATTCTTGCTTTAATAATATTAATCATACCATAATTACTCAAATTATCAACTATACTTTAATATAATATATGAAGTCAACAAGTATATAACATCTCTCAATGTGAGGGGGTTCCTTGTGTGCAGTGAGCACCGGTCTAGCCTATGTGGTTCATGTTCAGTTGAGTTACCATGATTTACATCCTCCCAAATGCTCTGTCGGGTCGGAGTGTGGAGACCCTTAGGATTGGAGTTCAGCCTTTTGAAAGAATATAATATATGAAGTAAACAAGTATGATTTTTAAAATAAAAATAAAATTATATACTATAATTAAAAAAAATATTTTAACATAATTAAAATTTTAACCTTATTAATATTATTGGGTATAAATTTTTGTATATGGCACATATAAAATACTAGTAAACTATATAAGCTCTATCAAACCTAGACAGCCAGACGCCAAGATACCATCAGCCCTCAGCTTCAATTCGCCTTTCTGACTAGCCAGTAGCCAGTCTCCTTCTATCCGCCTTTCCGGTAAGTCCCCTCTAACATCATCTACTCATACGCGAAATCTCATTCGAATCCTTCAATCCTTATCAGTCTCTGGCTTTACTGCTATTTTTTATTTTCATTTGTTCCAAGAAATTAACGTTTTTTGAAAATTTGTTCCTTTTATAACTTTGATCCGTAAACTGTACAATTTGTATTAAGTTTTAATCTGTATCTGAAAATTAAATTGTATAAACTGACTTATGATTTCGATCCGTAAAGTGTATTACAGATTCGCAGTTTTAATCTGTATGATTTAGTTTTGTATTTTTTTTTCTCATAAAATTAAATTTAAGTAGTTAACTGTAATTTCAGAAAATAACTCAAGGTTTCCTTTAAATGTGAAACAATATATAAGGCTCGTTTAGATCACAGTTTGAGGTTCCATTGAATAAAGGTTTCCATAATTGTATACAAAATTGTTTTTTAAGACATAATTGTAAGTGATCACAGAAACTAGTCTATTGCAGGCCATGGAATCCCAGAATGCAGTTGATGAATTTGAATGTAGAGTTGTAGAGATGATGCAGGGTATGGAAGATTTATTAAAAAAACAGGATCGTAAGATCGCTGTTTTGTTAGGTCAAAATGGTTATATGGAGAAGGTTGAAGCAGACAAGCCCGCAAGACTATCACGGCTGCACTTGAGGAATCCCACACTACACTTGATGAATCCCATACTGTACTTGATGAACGGAAAGCTTCAAGAGATTCAAGATGAGCTCAAGAAGGTATATCTAATTTCATCAGTTTTCTCTACCGTGTTCTCTGTTCGGTTCTTGATTCCTCTCTTCAAAATGTTTAATTGCAAATTATGTAACCTTTTTTTGGATTGAAATTCTAATCTTTTTTTGGATCGAAAAGTCTTATTGAATACCTCTCTTTTAATGTGTTTTGGTTTGGGTTTGTTTTTCTCCCTTACAGATTAATGAAGAAGCAAGTGATATGGTGTTGGAAGTAGAGCAAAAGTACAATGACGAAACCCAGAGTGCGGTGATGAGTGAGAGTGATGGTGCTAAATTGGAGGCCACTAGGCAGGAGCTAGAGGAGATGAAGCTCCATATCCAAGAAAGGGAATCTACAGTTGACGAGCTGTGCTTGGCGTTTGAGAAGCTGCTTCAGGACAACAACAAATTGTTCGACCGTTTTTGAAAACATTTTTTAAACCATCATGCCACTTTGTTGCACTTTCTTCTCCGCTGTTATATGCTTTTCACAACTTTGTACATATGAAATTATCATACTTTTTGTCCACTATTTTGACTCGTGTTCATTCTCACAAGTCACAATTACTATTTCTTAAGTTTCGATATTAATTTCTCACGAGTTAAGTTACAAACACGATCGCTGAAATTTTTTTTTTCATTTCAAGATTATTTTAAATTTACAATACTATGATTACAAATGTCTATATCATATTAAGGATTGCTTATAAAAGTTCAATGCACATTTTAAGTATATAAATAAATTTTAATCATATTGTCAAATGTTTGAGTTGAAAGTTTCTTGGAGAAAATAATTTTCAATTTTTACAACCACCAAATAGTTGAAAAATATTTCTTTTTTTAAATCTAAAATTTTTCATTATACACGCCGTGTATCATATTAAAATTTTAATTTCTAATTATTGTAATAGTATGTTTATATTTTTAATAATTGTGTAAAACTAGTATATACCCAATTATCATACATGATTGAAACAATAATTTGCTCTAAATAGAAGTGGACCCCGTTAATACTTATATCACAAAATAGTCATTTAAAATGACATTTTATTCTATTTTTTTCCAACAATGTGTGTTGGGTAATAATAATACTTATAAGACTTGATATTCAAACCAAATGGTAAATATTTTAACTTTTTTGAATTTCTTCGGACATTTATTCAAGGTTTGTTTGAATATAATGAATATAAAAATGGTTATATTTTCAAATTTACTTCATAATATTATATCATAGTGTGAGCATGTCAAACCAGTCACTCATTACGCATATTAGATTAGATGAAAGTTTGACTTGATTTAGTTATTCTTAACTTGTGCTAAGTTCAAGCTGAAGCAACATATTAGATTATATATTTATATTTATATATTACACAATTGCTATAATCAAAATATATAGGCCCTCTTTGGTAAAATAGTTAGTGTATCAGCCAATTTTACCTTATTTGACCACTATTAATTATTTGACTTCATTAAAAAAGTAATATAAGTGTTTGGTTAATTAGCTTTTTATAACTCCAAAATGTTAAAATTAAAAAAACTGCTCAAATCAACTTTTTCAATTAGCTTTTTGAGAAAAGAAATTATATCAAACAATTATAGTTAACAACTAATTTACTAAACACATTTCTACAATCAGCTAATGTTATCAACTAGTTATACCGTCTAATTAACCCAATCAACTAACAACAATAATTTTTTCATAGTTGGTTGTAAATGGTTGTTATTACATGTTGTGTAAAAAAAATTTGAAAAATATTTATTAAGCATAGTCTAGTCAAGCTTGAACTCAAATAATTAGAGTTTGGTGAAGCTATTGACAAGAGCGTTGTATACAAATAATGTAATTTTTATTTATGATCCACGCAGCTGTGTGAACTCATACAATAATGATTTATTGATAGACCCTTGGGCTTTTGAAAATTTGGCCATTTATGTATGGGCCTTGGATATGCATTACGAATTTCCTTATTCTGTGAATTCAAATGCTTTTACTTATAGATTTGTATGGAAGCTCAAGCCCAAAGGTCTTGTAAATTTTAAAATAGGCCTAAGACTCCATATATGTCAATCGTTATATCCTACACCACGGCGCACATGGCACTGTGCGCTGCGCCTCCCAAAACGACGTTGTTTTGGGATAATGTTGGGAGGCGCGGTAGGAAGTTGTTGAGATTATGTGTATTTGTTCACAACGTTATGTGTATTTGTTCACAACGTTATGTGTATTGGTTCATACAGTTATGTGTATTTTTTATACAATTATGTACATTCTTTTTATACAATTATGTACATCCGAATCAGAAAATTTATGTGTATTATGTTAAGAGTTGATGTGTATTATGTTAAAAGTTTATGTTTATTATGTATTATGTTAGATTATGTGTATTATCTTTTAAAAAGAGTATGTATATTTTGTTATATAATTATGTACATTCATGTATAACATTATGTGTATTCTAGTATAACATTATGTACATTCTTGAACAGCGGATTTTTTTTTTAAAGAAAAAACTACTGCCATTCACTGGGGCGGGAAATTTCAAAAAAAAAATAATTAAAACGACGTCGTTTTGCATCTGGGCGCATAGTGCAACGCGCGCCGTGGTGTAGGATATAAATTGCCCATATATGTAGCTAAAATTTTTAGGAAAAAAAATACTCCGTAGTTCATAAATTTTAGTGTTAGAATTATGGTTTCTTGTTTGCAGGCTATTATACATCAATGAAATTTGCTCAATGCATACCTTCATGTAGTAACTACATGTTTTTCTCGTTACAAAAACATTAGAATTTTGTGGCCCAACTCAATTTATTAAAATAATCACTCGAGCCAGGTCTAGCGCATTATGCTGTGCATCCGTATGCACCATGTCCGTATGCACCATGCATGGTGCATACGGATGCAAAAACGACGTCGTTTTGGCGTCTAACATAAAAAATAAAAAATAAAAATTCAGAATTGCATAACTACACATCCATAATTTCATAATTATACATCCAGAATTGCATAACTATACTTCCAGAATTGCATAACTACACTTTCAAAATTGCATAACTATAATTCCAGAATTGCATAACTATACTTCCAGAATTGCATAACTACACTTTCAGAATTGCATAACTATAATTCCAGAATTGCATAACTACACATCCATAACTTCATAACTACACATCTAGAATTGCATAACTACACTTCCAGAATTTAATAACTAAAAAATCCAAAATGAATGAACTAAAAATGAATAACATAATGATCGAAACTGATTTTTTTTTTTTTTTTTTTTTTTAAGTAGGGCGCACATTTTATGCAAAACGATGTCATGCACAGCATAATTTGGTCCAAATCTTTGACAGTCCAAAATATGATTAGGTGAAATTTTGAAGGAAATTTTGTTTTTGTTTTTCCCTAAATAATTAAAGTGCAAATAGTGAGGATTACAAAATAGAGTAAAATGATATTAATTATATTGGTACACCGTTGGACCTTATAGTCCTCCCCAGTGAATTTTAAAATAGCTACATTCTAAAGTTCAAATTTAAAATTGGTGGTTAAACGGGAAGAGAATCACGTCATTTTATCCACACCTATATATATATATGTGTGTGTGTGTTTATATGCGCGATGCGCAAAAATATATGCCCAATATTAATATTTAATATTAAAATCTTAGTTATATATATATAATTGTAGAATTCATATTAATATTAATGAAGTAAGAATTATAAAAATAATATATTACTAAATATAACTATGGTAACATTTAATTAAATCTAAATAAAATCAACCTTACCAATTGAAGAATGTAAGAAAAAGATATTGTGTATGCATGTGCATGATAATAATAATGTGAAAGATAACAGAAGTTATAATGGCAGGGATATTTTTGTCCAAATAATTATGTAGTACAACATTTATAGCATAAGGTACAAAAAAAGTTAACAGAAAAAATGGACATAAAATCAGAGACATAACTTAGATTTGAAGCTTATTATGTTTTTAGAATATATATACATACACATACATACATACACTCATACATACACATACATACATACACTCATTGATTTGGTTTATGAACTCAAAACAAGCTACTATATATAATAAACACCCATTATTAACTTTCCCTCAAAAGTCTAAAGCCTTTTGTAAACACTTAAAAAAAAGTACAAATTATTTCGATCAATAAATTAAATCCAAAATCCCGGAGGAAAAACAAAAGGGGGACAAATGGGAAGCCCCACTTTGCCTAATAAAATGGAGTGGAAAACTTTATATAGTCATTGATATTATTATGTTATTATTATAATTAAGGTGATATTGATTAGTTGGTACTACAATTAAAACTAAGAAATTTTAAAATAATACAAACAATAATGCACCACTGACCATGCACTTGACACCACACTAATAGTACCAACCACTAATGTAGTATATATCACATAAGTATTACATAATTGGTGGATAAATGCCCCATATATAATGCAGACAACCAACTTTTTGTAATAGTTAGCCAGATTATAAAACCCTAAATCAATATCAACTTGCAATTATCTAAATACAATTTTAGTTAGAGATTTGTACATTAAAAGTTGACACAAGATAAGATATGTTAGACTAAATCTCAACTGATAATATTTAATTACGTAATAAAATAATAAAAAGTAAGACATACATCGAATCATCTCAGCCAATTTCCCGAGACACGTCCGTAATTATTTGAGTGATAAATTAAATTTCGTTTGAAATGATATTTTATAATTAATTAACTATTCAATTTATAAATTATTAATTTAATTGTTGGTTAATCAATAACCTTCATTTTAATTTGAATTAATTAAATATTAATTTTTTTTAGACCTTGATATTTAGTGGCCAAAAACAAAATGATAAGAGATTAAGTTAGGAAAATAATTTAAAAAAAAAAAAAAGTGGTATATATGGAGCATGTGGCGTACATGTCACGTTTGATTGGTTTGAATATTCTAACTGGCACACCTCAAAAAGGAATAAGGAAAAAAAGAAACAACAATGGATACAAGAAAAGATATATTGCGTTTGTCTTTTCTAATCATGAAACCAAGCTTTTTCAATGCCATTTTGTGTCATTTATTATATAAAAATATTATTAACCAATTAATTTAGCTGATTATTTAAATCTTAATCATGTAGGTTAAGTAAGTGTTGCATAAGCTTTTTTGTAAGGTGATCAAATAATCAAATTTGTCCAACCAAATCCACCCCCAAAAAATCAATTATAAAAGACCCTAAATTAAAATAATTTCATTTATTTCCATCTTTACTCATTTATGTTTCTTTTCAAATTTGTAGATGAATTTATTGATTGCTTGCAAAGTTAATGTTACTCGACTACAAAATATGGCCGCTTGTAATTATCACTTTCATTAGACCTATGAACAAGGCTACAATTAATTAAGAAACACAAACTGCTAAAAAAATATGTGTCAAAATCACACTAATATACAATTAATCATTAAATATGAATGTGTGTCACTCAGGAGTGTATCCAACATGCATGTGAAGACTTAATTGTTCGTA